AGATACCACAAAACAGCGAGCTGCTGAATTCCACATATTTTAACATTATTTACATAAGCTTTTCACTGAAAACAATAATTATTTCTGCACCATCCAGTATCAGCTCCAGTCCTTTCTTCTTTTTTGCTGTTTCCGTCAGAGAAAACGTGCATTCACATTTAACTGAAGTTTATTGCCAGAAAAAAATAATTCTAGAAACAGAATGGAATATTTTCTTGAGCTGAAATGCAATATGTAACAATTCCAGATTCTTAAAGCAACAGTTCTACCTGCTCTGTTCTTTCTTAATATAAATAAATGCTCTTGTAAAACTGTCAGCTGAAAGGACAGCACTGAGCAATGGCCAGGACTTGCAGAGCACTTGCAGACCAGCAGCCAGCCAGAGCTAGAAACCCACAAAAAACTTCACATGCAACAATTTGCCATGCCGGGTTTCTTGGTGTCTTGCTATTTGTTTTCAAGTATCTAGCGCAGTATCTCCACGTCTATCCAAAAATAAGCAGCAGAAATATTTGTGACTAACATCAGCCTGCTGCCATCTTCTGGTGGGAAGTTCAGGACATAAAACAACAGCAAATACAATTGTTCCCATTATCTTGGACTTTTATCCCACAGGAAGAAAATGTGATAGTATTTGTGGAGTAATTACGTAGAGAGAAACAAGAAGGTCACTGATCTCACAGGGATTAAAGATCCTTTTCATAAGTCCCCTTTAAATGACCCTTTAGCATAGATGCAGTAACCTGGGCTGTCAGAGGGACAAGGTGTCTTCAGCATCCTTTCTTAATCCGCTTGCATTACAGTTAGGTAAGTTTTGATTTTTGCAAATATTATTTTTGTAAATTATTAATTTTGTAAATTATTATTCAGTAAATATTTTCAAAATTTCTATTTTGAAATAACATGTAGAAAGACACTCCTACTTATGCAGTAAGTTAAAAAACTACTGCCAGAACATTAAACTGTGTCTGATATAGTCACGATTTTCTAACCACTAGCACTTCCTACTATCTGAAAAGCAATGTTTTTTTCAGAAATATTAACTGATGACTAATACAGGCTTCCAAATCTAAACCTTCTAAGCATCAGGGAGAGCACTTAGAGATAAATGATGAGTAAAGTTTACCTGCCTGACCAGTATTAACACACAGATTGTTCCTCTTACTGCAGAAAATCTGCCTAAAATGGTAACCAGCACAGCTGGTCAATTCCCTAGAAACCATTCTTGGCTCCCACCAATGCTTTTATCATTCTTCAAGGCCAACAGCTTTGATTTGCAAGAACTGGCTGTTCATGCTCCCTGACTACTCAAAATACATTGAAAAGAGAACGTGTGACCACTGACTCTCAGTCTAGGCCCTGGTCTCTACTGGTATGACTGGCTTTCAGCAACCCCATCTCCCTGAGATCCATGGAAAAGACTGGGTCAAAGAAGAGGAACAGGTTAGGAAGCACTTAAACAAATGGCATGCTTGGGTCCATGGAGTACCCGCAAGCCATACAGGAGTATTGTAATGTAAATTTGAGGCTATTCTCTCTGTTGTTAAAAGGTAGTGACAACCAGAAGTTCCTTATGTCTAGGAGAAAGTAAGCATCATTCCTGCCTTCAAGAAAGGCAAGAAAGATTTCAACCTGTCCTTGTAAAGAAGGTTGAGTAAATAACCCTGGAAAATCAATTCCCCACACTGGCTGTCAAGTGAGCTGACGGAGATCATTTGGGATGGTCAGCATGAAAGGGAAATCATGCCTAGGCAAAACTGAAACCTTCTGCAAGACTGGGTTGGTACAGTCTTCTGTAGGATGAGGGACAGAGCAGTAGATACTGCATATCTTGAGTTTGGTAAGGTTTTTGTCACTGTCACCCACAACAACCTCATCAACAAACTGACAGAAGCACAGGCCAGGTAAGTGGACCCTGAGGCAAAACAAATAATGTTCTGAGGTGCTGGATTCAAAAAGCAGTGATCAGTGGCACAAAGTCCAGTCAGAGGGCCACCACCAACTGTGATCCCAGTGACTGGGAAATGGGGTAAAAGCTGTTATAAATATATTTATAAATTACATATACAATGGGATACATGGCACCTTCAGGCAGTTGGCAAATGGAGAAGTAGTTGATATACCCATTGTGTGTGTTGCCATCAAGAGTGATCTCAACAGGATGAATAAATGGGTCAATGGGATTCTTCACTAGATTTTAGTCTGAAAGCCTCTTGGAACAATGACTGTTTCTACTTGTGTCATTACTGAACTCCTTAAAAAAAAAAAAAAAAGACGGTGAATAAATCAACTATTTAAGCAATTAATAATGTCCCAACACCAGTGAAATGATTGCGTCCCTGGCTCCTGGAGTACTTTATAATAAATATGAGAAACTTTCCTGCAGCTTTCTCTGACTGGTATTTCTACATGCAAACTAGTAAAATGTATACAGCTGTAATAGAGAGACTGCCAGAAACATATAAACTATGTGTGACTATGGATTAGATTCACACCTTGAGATGACTGCCTACACATAAAAGAATCAGAAACTAGTGTTTGTGCCACAGAAAAACACCATCCAAAGTAAGATCTTATTTAGAAGTGATTAAATGCCCACAGTAGAGGCAAAAAGGTATGCAAACACTCTGCAGTTGTGCTTTTTGCCAGTTACACACAGAATTCCCCAGCTGTAAGCCCATGCACAATCTAGCAGCCACAGCTGAACAGCTCCACATAGAGTGTAGTATTATCTCCAGGGAGGATGGTCTGAAAGCATTCCCATACGGAAGAGCTACCTCCAAACAGTGCCCCACTGGAGTTAACCCAGCTGAACTTAAGCACTGCAGGGGGTAAGACAGAGCTCTGCTACAGTGTTTTGCATTGCTACCAATAGAGTAATTTCTCCAAAGTTTTTCTAAATGATGCACCACAGAAGACTGAAGCAGAACTGTCAAGCCATGAATTTAATTCAGGCTTGCTAAAAGACTCTTTGCCTGAAATTAATCTAAGTACTCGTATTATAAATCCCTATTCATTCCATCTTCCCCCAGTCTGTTTTGGCTGGGGTAGAGTTGATTTTGTTTACAGTGGCTGGCACAGGGCTCAAACCACTAATTTTGTAGTTTTCACCCTTCTGATTCTTTCCCATTACTTGCAGAAATTAATTCACAGGACTGTACTTGCATTTTTCAACGTCCAGTAAATTAGTGACATTTCAAATGTTCTTTCAGCTTTACTTTTCAATAAAAATAATGATGTATGCTCAGAGGGAACATACAAAGCACAGACTGCAAAGTTATGTGTTATTCTGTATATAACTTTAGAGCAATTCATGTTTTGTCACAGCTACAAATTGATTATTGGATATGCTGCTACCAGACACCATAACACTTGATACAATCACAAAATGGGTCAGGGTGGACATGACCACAGCAGGTCCAACCTCCCTGCTGAGGCAAGGTCATCACATTGCACAGGATCACACCTAGATGGGGTCTTGAGTATTTCCAGTGAGGGAGACCTCCACAGCCTCTCTGGGTAATCTTTTCCAGTGCTCTGCACAGTAAAGTTCCTCCTCATGTTCAGATAGGACTAACTGCACATCAGTTTGTTGACTCTTGTGCTATTGCTCAGCACCACCAAGCAGAGCCTGGATCCATGCACTGACACCCTGACACAGACACTGATGAGCTCCCTTATCAGTTGATTCTTCTTGAGACTGAACAGGCCCAACTCTAGGTATCACATCGCTCACTATATAATAAATACTGTAGAACTTGGAGGAAAAATACTCCAGGCACTTCATCAAACCTTGTGAGCAATGCATATGAGCTCTGGGAAGAAAACCTAAGTATAATCTTCCAAAGTTGAAAAAAAAAAAAGAGACCAAGGAATACAGAAGTTCATAAAGCTATCCTTTTGGAGTTTACACAGTAATAACAGGCGACTAACGTGTGAAATACTGGCTGCTCTGCAGTGCTGCACAAAATTGCAGCATACTCCCCTCTGGAAAGGAAAGCAAGGTACTGTACCTTACATCATATTGCAGCTAATGATAACACAGTGCATCTAACTTCAGAAGCCCAAATTACATCCTTTTAGTAAGTCAAACAAAGGAATCTTTTGATTAGGAAGTTCATGAGAAACTGAATTTCTCCAAGCTTAATGGGCAAGAACTTCTGACAGGTATCTTAAGATATTTAACACTGTACATTAGGAATACTGTATTAATCTTCAGCAAATACCTAGCTTTAAAGAAGTCAGAGAAATACAGACAGAGCTGTATTTCTGGCTGCTCATAATACCTTGATGTTCTAAACTTCCCTTACTAATCAGTAAATTACTGCTCTAAATGAGAACCTAGAATTTCAAATTAATTATGATGGATTTCCAATATAAGCCTAACCAAAAATTACCTAAGTGTCCAACACAAACCAGTGGACAGGAGAGCTACTACTTACAATACAAAAATCATGTTACATTTAACTGCAAGGACGAAAGATTCTGCTTTTATATGTAACTCCAAATGTGAGGCCAGGTCTTCACAGGAAACTCAACATTTTTAAATGCCATTTTTAAATCCCAAACTGTCAATGCAGTAACAACACAAAATGCAGTTTAACTTTACTTAAGATAGGCCACAGTCTTATTATCCACATCCTTACATGCAGCTAGCCTACAGCCCATCTAGCTACCTAGGCAATGTTTGTGAAGTCACCAGTGCCAAGCTCTAGAGTCCAGGTGTGGACAGAACACAGCTGGGCCTGCTCCAGGCAGCCAGTAGCTAAGGTGTTAACAGGATCATAGAACTTAGGTTTGAAAAGACCTTGGGCTACTAAGCAGCAATTCCCTCTTATCTGTTAATGTACACAGCCATTATACATATTACAGCTTCCTCAACCACCCACATGCTTTTTTACAGAGCCTGTCAAATTCTCTTTACAAGGAAGATGTCAAATACAGGCGGAGCTTCTTCTTAAAACCCAAGGTAACTGTTTTGGAAGAAAGGAGGAAGACAATCCAGAACAGAAAAACAACTTTATTTAACAATGCCTCTAAACACATGAAATTAGGAGTCAGTATTTTTACAACAATAAGTTTACCTCTTGGAATCTAGAGTTGTATTTTCTCCCATTACCACAGGCTCTATTACCTTTTACATCACAGCATAACGTTAATATCAAGTAGCATTAACACCACCACAAACAATAGTTTTTTTTAACTTTAGTGTAAAGCATTTATTTGGTAATATAGCTAAGGAAATATGCACTCCAGTGAAGCTTAGAAAAAGGGAACAACCTCTATCAACAGGTAAAATTGATGGCAATATAGACCAGAAGTCTCAGTAAGAGAGATGAATGCAATGAAATGTAGAGCACCAAGAAAAATTTCAGTCTGTTGGGTTGAGGGTTGGGATGGGTATGAGATGTGGATTAGGAGCAAATTAACAGATTGCACTATTTCTCTTTTGACATCTAATTTTTCCATTTTCTAGGGTTATGCCACTTATTCAACATCTACTGTTCAAAATATGCTTAAAAAAGAAAGTACAGTTCTGTATATAAATGATGAACTGTATATAGAAAGCCACAGTGAATATGACACTGACAGTGTTAGAGCAGGGAAGTGACACTCTTAAACAAGGAGACTGGAATAGAGTTGCCTTGCACACCAAAAGGAGTGCAACTTCCCAATGCAGACAATACTTGGAGAAGACGCTACACACTTAACTGAAGTATAAAATGCATTGCTCTGGTTATGCTGCTGCTTTACAAATTCTATCCTGATGAAGGTTCCTTCATGCCCAGCTTCCAACTCAACTGTTCTTATCTGAAAGAGAAAACACAATAGTTTGCACTCTATAGTATTCAACTATTAAGACAGAAATACTGAAGTTGTTTCATGTATTACATGTATTAATAAAGCGTATATGAAATGATACTCTAATAACCATTTGATAAGTGCTCCCATCAGTTGCTAGTAACACAGTTAAAGTTCTAAATAAAAACTTTCTTGCACAAAGAAATAAGTTTCACTACTCCTTGAGATTAGTTTATATTAAATTCCAAGTACTTCATTAAATCACAAAATCACAGCACAGTTAGCATTGGAAAGGACCTCTGGTGATCATCCAGACCAACCCCCTCACCAAGGCAGGGTCACCTAAAGCAGGTGACACAGAAATGTGTCCAGTTGGGTTTTGAGTGTCTCCAGAAAGGGAGACTCCACAACCTCTCCAGGCAGCTGTTCCAGGGTACTGCCACCCTCAGTGTAAAGAATTTCTGCCTCAAGTTATGGTGGAATGTCTTGTGCTTTAGTCTGTGGTCAAGGCTCATTGCCTCTTTTTTGGGCACCACTGAAAAGAGTCTGGCACCATCCTCCTGCCACCCATCTTTGAGATATTTCTGTGTATTGGTGAGATCCTCCCTCAGTCTTCTCTTAATGTCACTGCCAGGGAGTCTCATGAATGGCCAGACTTGGTAAGTTTCCTTAAAAGCAAACAATATCCACTGCCCTCCCCTAGCCAAACCACCCTGCCATGTCATCTCAGAAGGCTATTGGTAAAGTATGATTTCTACCTGTCTACTCCCAATGGCCATCCTGACTACATGGTGAATCCATCCTGATATTCCTCATGACCATTCCTTCTACAAGCTTGGTGATGATCTTCTGAATGATCGGTTCCACCACCTTTCCAGGGATGATGGTGAGGCTGACTGGCCAGTGGTTTCCTGGTTCCTCCTTGCCCTTTTGGAAGATGGATGTAATGTTGGCTTTCATCTAGTCATCAGGCACCTCCCGTTCTCAATTTCTCAAGGATAATGGAGAATGGCTTAGCAACAGTATCTGCCAGCTACCTCAGCATCCATGGGACTATCCCATTGGAGCCTGTGGACTTATGGGCATTAAGTCTGTCTAGCTGACCTTTAACTGAACCCTCTATGACCAGCCTTCCTCCCTTATCTTTGAGATCTGGGATTCCTGAAGGACAGCCCCAAAAGTAAAGACTAAGGCAAAGAAGGCATTCACTAATTCCACCTTCACTGTGTCTTCCACCACCAGGACACCTATCTGCTTCAACAGTGGCTCCACACTTTCCCTAATCTTCCTTTTCCTGATGTATTTATCATTGATATCCCTTGCCAGACTCAAATCCAAGTGGGTGATGGCCTGCCTCATCACATCCCTTGCATACCATCTGTTTTCATGGAAGTCCTCCATTACTAGTTCATTTTTATCAATGCTCTTCAATGATTTAACCTACATGTAACTAAACACTGCAATACTGGTTAAATAGTTGACGTTTCTGTTGGAAATGCGATAAGGGGATAGGCAGGCAGGATAGTTCTATCAACACCTTAATGAACTCACAGAAGTTTCAATGACATATGACACATTTCTGAATAGCCAAATTTATTCAAGAATAAACAAAAAGCTTCGAACTATCTTTGTGAATTCTCAAAATCTAAGTTCTGATTATTTAAAATCTAACTGCAGATTGCAGTTAATGCACTTCGAGGCTTTTTTCATTTTTTAAACCACTGCAGATTACAGCACAAAGTCAGATGAACATCTTTTATTATACTTGGAAGATGTTTGATAGAACTCTAGAACTAGAGGAAGCATGCTTCCTTTATTTTTAATGTCTCATCCTCCATGAGGAACAAGCATACAAATAATTTGTTTCCCTCCACTTCCACAGCACAGTCCAAATACTCAGAGGTTATTCATGGTAGTATAGTCAGTGATAGAATGGACAAAATCTTGATGCATAAAAAACACAGACTTCATAAAAAACACTTACCCTTCAATTTATGTATTAAGTCTAATGGGACTTCATGTACCATCCACCTGTTGACAGGATACCAGCAAAGATGACACGGATTGTTTGCTCTCATCAGGAGAGTTTGGCAATGGCATCTTGGTAAATCCTTCATCCATGGAAGGATCATCCTCATTTTCCTCTCCTTCTGATATTGTACTTAGTTTAGCTCTATAACTTTGAGATTTGTCTCTATTTTGTGTTTGATGCAGCTCCTCTTCACTCTTAGATGCAGTCTGTTTTAGCACTTCATGTGAGTTGGACAGGGACTGTATATCTAGGTCCAATTTTTTAATATCCTCATTATTTTCCGAGCCATCCATTAAATTTTCACTGTCCATTGTAAAGAAAATGGAGTCTGAGTCTGCAGATATGTTGGGATCCATACCATCACATTCTGGAAGTGTCTCACCCAATATTCCCATGTCAGGAGATTCATGACAGAGAGAATTTAACACAGATGTATTCCAGCACAGTATCTTATCCATTAGAAAACTGCGACAGTGGTCTGAAGGTAGTGTATTTGTTCTACTACCACTTTTCAAACAACTATCTGGAGTATTCATACTCTTCTCTACATTTTGAAAAGTCTGGCTTAGATCTTCTACAGAACTTCCATTCAAAGCAGAATCTAGTACCTCGGATTCAGTTCTCTCACTTTCTTGAATTCCAGACATTTTTGCATCTGAAGATTCAAATGTGTGACTTACACTCACCTGCTCCTGAGAACTAGATTCTGTAGAATTTAATTGATACTTCTTTTCTGATACAGGAGGATCCAAGTCAAACACAGGAGACACAGGTTTAGAGCATGCAAAGGTAAAGTCCACCTCCTGCTGCATACTGGGTGTAGCATTCATTGAAGATTCTTCCGTCACCACACCAGCTGAGGACAGCTCAAGGTCTACTGAGCCCTCAGTCTGAATAGCTTTTCTCCACGAACTTCTGATTTCAGTAACTAAATGGAACAAACCAAGGTAAAATTTTAGTACTTTCAATCAGTCTGGTTTTTTTCTGTCCCCTCAGTGACATAAGCAATCCAAGAGGGAATATGTATAGCTGCTTTATACTGTTTATGTTTCCCCAACACAAAGGGGATTCTATGTAAGAAAAAAAATCTCTTAAATCAAATTCAAAGTATTCACATCTTATTAGGTCTACTGTGTTGTATTAGAGTGAGCCATTAGAAAAACATGCAACATCACTGAAATAGTTATCTTTTTCTTCTTGTGTGACAAGTCAATGAATTAACCACATTTTTTATCAACAAACATTATAAAAACAGAATTTCAAACTCACTCAGATTTTCTGGAGTTCGGGGTATTTGATTCCTTGTTATAAATGGGTTAAAACACAGTGAGCTAATGAGATCATCTAATGCCATTCCTTTTTCTTCACCACTGTGAGGTGACTCAGACATCACCGACTTTGCAATCTGTAGGATGTCAGAAAACAGCAAATTCTAAGAAATCAAAATTATAATCTCTTCATTTCTGTCAGTTATGGTTAAAAGTACATCTCATTCTCCAAATTATCTGGAGAATCTGGAATATTCTAACTTTTCTGTTATTTAATACTTAGGTTCACAAAACAAAGATAAGGGACTGAAATCAGATTCCATTCTCAGTTCACTCATCATCTATGAATCCACCTTTCAAACAAGAAAGTGTGTTCAGATAGAATATATTTAAGACATTAGCCAAGAACTGCATAAGCTTGAAGACTAGAGATATATATTTCAAAAATTTTAGCAGATGAAAACCAACTCCCATTTCAGTTAAAAACGCAATTTACTTTCCAAAATAAGAAGTGGCACATTTTACAGTAACCCTTGTGAAGGAATTCCTCAAATATTAAATAGAATACCTAAAAGAAAAAATATTTACATTCCTGTTTAAAATTACCAAGTCTCTGTTAAATATTTAACCTGTGTAACTTAAGAATTCAACAGTTCTTTTTGTTTCTGAATACATGCAGTGTACTTCACAGACTTAAGTGTAATCATACCATGATTCTACTGAACATACTATTCACTTCACCATGATTTTTAAGCATGATGCCTGCACAAACTCCATGCTTTCAGTGTGTACTTTATCAGTCCACTCTAAAATTCTGTGACTGATAACTATCTAGCACAAAAAGGTACCTTTCGATGCATGTGGATTAGAGACATATTTTGTTATAATTAGTGATTTGTTCTCCAAACTTAGTGATTGTTTACTTAAAAACAACAAAAAAAAATTACATCCTAACCTCTTCTGCCAGTTCATCTCTGGCTTTCTCAAGAAGTTCATCTCTTTCCACAGGAGACTTTGGCTGGGTAACATTTTCACCTGCATTCTCCTCCATTTCTGAAGTAGGGAATTCTTCCTTTCCATTTTTTAAGTTTTTTTGAGGCATGGGTTTTTCATTTCCTATACAAGTATTCAAGTTCTACAGGAATACAAAGGAATTATTAGTAGTTTTAAAATCAAGAAAGGATATTAGCGTAAACTGCTGTAAAATTTCTTAACTGCAATGGCCCCAGTGTATTTAGTCAACAAAAAATATTTCAGTCTTGAATTCTAACTAAATACAAAATATTTTTACAACTGTATTCAAAGTAGGGCCTAAGCAGTGACTAGGATAGGTGTTACATACAACATAGATGACTCACTTGCAACAACCCTGATCACAGTACAGTGAACAGCTGTGCAATGGACAACTGTACATCCAAGCTGCTTTTACACAACTTAAATTTTTTACACTTAAATTTCAGATTTTCACATTTAGATTTCATTTACAACTTAAAGAAACAAAGTCTGACCACTGCCCACATCAAAATCCTGTTTCAGCAAACAGGGAATCAGTCACATACTGTATGTTATACAGGAAGTCAGATACAAGGGCACCTACTTCCTACTGTTCTTTCCTAAAGCTTAGCAAAGTTACTGAGAGTTAGCTTTTACAATTTTGCCAGACTAACTCAAAATGTGTAAAAATACTGCTCAAAAAACAATAAAAAGCCACCCCAAAAACCCCACAAAACAAACCAAAGCCCCCAAAAAACCACCCCCAAAACGCTTTTCCACAAAGTCTAAGTTTCAACCAATATAAAAAGGACATGTCATAAGTTTAACTTATTTTAAAGATATATACATTTTTAATTAACAGGTCTCCATTTTCAGATGCTTCTGACGACGACGGCACCAATGAGCTCCTCAAGAAGGGAGAGACAAAAAAAACCCAACAATTTTAGAGACAAATCAAACAATTGGAATGCAAATCTTAGAAGGCTGTTATACTATGTGTGCTCCGTATCTGTCCGTTACGATTTCCCTCAATTCGTCCCGGTCATCAGAAAGCAGTTTTACTCTAGGGAGAACAGTGTGACAATTAGAGCAGCTTTAGCCCTAGTTGTGTATCAGCCTCCCAAAAACAGTAAATTGATAAATTCTGCTATTGATTAGCACACAGAAAAATAAGGGATTTTTCAATACACTTGTAAACAAATCTTCTACATTCTACTATAAAAGATAACTGGAAAATCTTCTGCACACTTGACAACATTCTTTTTCCTACATAGTCTTTGTCTGAACCATTTCTGGCATCCACAAGTCTGTTCCTATGTAAACTTGAAATTTAACAATCACCTGGCTACCAAAAACTTCAGCTTTATCACTTCCAGTAACTTTCATGCCAATTGCATAGCTCTCAAAACTGCACAGTCCTCACTTGCTAGGAAAAGCAAACCTGCAGATGTTTTTGATGTTATCTGTCTGTAGCCTCAGAAGCAGACAAGCCTCCATGCTGTATGAAGTTACTGAAAGAAACCCAGGATTTAATTGTTAACTACTTTGAAAGTCTCTGAGACTTATATGCAACTACATCTACTGATGTCTAAGAATGGATCGCATTCCTTTGCTACCTCCCTTGGTCTCTTGGTAGGTAATGTTCCAGCATTTGTAGGAGTCGTAATGTGAAAGACAGCATTATTCACAAGGCCAAGAAATACACCTGGTCTAAGCAAATGACAAAGCGGAAAAAACTTTCTAGGATACCATTGTTCTGTGTTTAACCCTTTACTGGTACTGTAGGAAGAGTAGCTACAGAACAATGTGACTATAACTCTCAAGAAAAGTAATGAAAAAGCCTTGTAGAGAAGAAGCTTCTGTTCTCTCCACCTGTCTCTTAAATCTTCACAGCTGGAAAGCAAGAAAAAAACTTTACAATTTGACTGCTACTCCTCCTATTCAGCAGCAACCAGTTGATCAATCTGTCATCAGCTGGAAAAAGCAGCAGTTACTTTAGGACTATCTTGCTAAAGCAAGCAGCTGTGACGTAAGGAACGGGCTACTAAAATATTTCACTAAGACTCAAGTGATGCAAAATATTCAGGTCCAGTAAGTAAACTTTTAATTCTTCTACTACTTTTTTATCAAATTCTCATTAGGCATACCATCTTGAGGGTACTAATGGTGTATGGATCATGGTTTCCAAAGGCTCATCACTTTCCTTATGGCATTCTTCATGATGATAGTCATAATTACCTAGAAAAGCAACCCAAAAGTTTTAGTATTGCTTCCATTTTCTTCACTTAGGCTTCCCATGTGACACAAGCTCACTCACACTACTTCTGTAGACTACACACTGGATGGATTTTACACTTCAAGAAAAATAAATACAAAAGCAGGATAGCACTATCAATCCTTCTGCTCAGGCAGTACCTGTAGTAACAAATGCCCCTAGCAGCCAGCACCTCTTTCTGTTGCTCCTGAATACATGTTCAAGAAGCATGATTGTAACTGCTGCCCTGCACATATCAATCAGACTTTTTACCTTCCTCCAAACTACAGTGCCAGCCACATCATCATTATCCCCTCTTTTCCACATACACCTCACTTGTACAGTACATCAATTCCACAAAGCACAATTTCATCCACCTTTACCCCAACTGCATTAATCAATAAATATCTCTGTGGATATACTCATCTGTCTTGCTGCCTCAGTCCAAGCAAGGCGAAACTTTGCATAAGTAAATGTTAGAGAAGTAAATGTTTTGAACATTATTGGAGGTGCACACACCTCAGTCATGGACTGTCTAGAACAATGTACTAACTCTGGCACATCTTGAATACACAGCCAAAGTTTAATCTCAGTAGTTCTCTACAAATCCTATATTTCAGCTTCTGCAGGGATAAATGGCATTTCCTGTCACATTCAACTCAACACATTAAAAATCCAAGCTCACTTCCAGTACTTAGCTGAGGTCAGTATTTTGCTTTTGGTATTGACCCTATTAACAGACAGAAGTTAAGTTTTCTTAATGGCTGTATTATCAGATAATGCATCTCAACCACAGACAGAATGTCAGAGACCTCAATTTGTCTCAAGCTTTCTGATTCTACCAGCTCATAGCATCATAGTACAGTGCTTCAATCTTTTCAATTTTTAAGGCAAACTATGTTCAAATCCAATTCTGTAGCCTTTCCTCTGCAGCTTCTAAGCCTTATACCCACATACACTCAGATGCATGGAGCAGTGCTTTCACCTTTGTAACCAAAACTATCTTCCCACCATTTTTTTTGCATATTGAAATTCCAATATACCTCTGCTATGCCATTCTTCTTAAAAGGAACTCCAAATTATATGATTCAAGCAGTCTTCCTCCTTGCTTTGTAGCTTTTAACTTGCAACTCTGTACTAGTTACAGTCAAGACTTGGTCAACAAGTAAAATGAGGTCACACAGTAAAATACCATCAGATCATCAGCCAATTAACATGTGCAACAACCATGCCTGATCAAAGTGAGCTCTGATCAACACTATTAACCTAATGACTGAATGCAACTAACACAAATCAAGTGAAGTCCTCACCAAATGGCAGTTATTCAGGAATAAAGTATTTCAGAGTGCACCAGGGAAAGACAGTTACGTGGGAGGACTCCTTCAATTTCTTTTCCTAGATGGTCAATGGGAAAAGTTTTACCTTCTTTCTCTCTTTATTACTCCTCCAACCCAAAGTAACCTTTACAGTTAGACTGAATGTATTCTCTCGAACCCATGAATAAACCTTTGTACAGGGACATCTGCCTCAACATCTTTTGTGCAAAACAACAAAATATCAAACAGCTCAGCACTGGGTTTTTGCCAAGCTTCAGTGAATCTCCAAGATACTAGGAAGCTGAAAAATGCAAGGCAATTTTGGCAGAGTCATTCAGAACCAATTACCACAGATTGCAAATGTAAGAAGGGAACCTTTTTGACTCCACGTAACATTTAGCAGCTGTGGTGGTGGGGAAGAAGGAAAACAAGTTTCTCCTGCTCACCCACCTGAAAATAACTGATAAAAGACAGTATCTTCATCTTCATCTGAAGAACTAGAAGACTGAAGTGATGAAGCTGGTTGCTTTCAAAAGGAAAAGAAAAAATTATATAAGCAGGCAGAAAAAGTCAGTTTATCAACAGCAATTAATAGACAGTTATTTAAAACAACTTCCTGCAAACCAGCTGTCAGACTCAACATGAAGTTTCTCCTCTGTCTGCTGGGTAGCTACATAAGGGCATAACCTCCGTCAGTGTGAGTATCAAAATGGAAATTACTGTTCCTTCATCAAACACATTACTTTAAAAGGGGAAAACAGAAATCAGCAAATATTCAGACTGAACATACTAAATGCTCAGCTTCCACAGGAACAACACAAAAACCAGTCTGCTCACTCTTATGCCAATCTACCATCTTGATATCTCCAGTGAATACATCACTATAATAAAGTCAAAGAAACACGTATTCTCTTGAATACAGTGCAATATAAAACTATTCCGTGCAAATTCCCAATCACCCAGCGTAAGAGAACAACTAAGACTGGTGCACCACAACACCCTCTTTACTTCTTAAAGCAGAATCGGGTATATTGCACTATGTGAGTCCCCTAACCTTACAAATAAAGCTGAAGTGTTGTAACAGAACACACTAGTTTAGACCTACATCCTCTCTCACCTTCACCCTTTTCTCTTTCCCAGAATCAGATAAAACAAATACTACTTACTAGATCATGTTTAAAGATTAAATTAAAAGGACACTGGCCAAGAATCGTTTTCCACTTTGATTTCCAGATTTCCTGTTTTCTGAGAATAGACTGATGTTCTGGCACACAATGCTCTTGCTTTCTTCTTAGACTGTAACATATAAACACAGAAAATTAAGACACTGGTTCGTAGAGATAACAATTCTACACAAAGAGGGAAAGTATTATGTGTTCTCCCTTATCTTGACAAACCTTTGATATATATCAATTTATTCACGCATTTATGCAAACACTAAGAACTGAAATTCACAACCAAAAAAGCTGCTGCTAGGCAGTCTTTGTGTTTCTTACAGCAGAACTGGAAAAACTATACTAAAACATATACACAATAAACACTTTAAATGTCCCTAAGCCAGTTACAGATGAAAGTTTTAAAAATCTCAGAACTTATTAATGCAAAAAGACAAAATAAGCAAAAATCAGATCAGCAAGCAAATGAGATCCCCAGAAACAAAGACCAAAGTATTAATGAAATAAAGGCAAAAAGATGAAACAAGCTAGAGAAGAATCTCAATAAAAAGTTATATAAATAATTAGAATAAACGCTAATTTTCCCAGAGGCTTAAGAAAAAGACTGAACCAACATGTTTTTGCTGTAACATCTTTCTAGAAAACACTCCAGTAGATATGATCCTACCATTTAAGAACAAGCAATTAGAGAAAATCTCCCCCAACAATTACCTTTCTGTTTTCAACTCCTGTAGTGCCTTCTTGTAGGATGTAGCCACATCCTCAATTCTGTGAAGTTCTTTCAATTCACATGGACAAGATTCATCTCTCAATGTCATTAGGGCTTCATTTAGCAACTGAATAACTGTTAAGAAATTCAGATTTCCATCTTCATATAAATCTCCTGTACAAAACTTGAAGTAGATAGAGCAAGCAATTAAAAAATAATTAGTACCAATCAGAAAGTTATGTCTCCTGTAGTAAGAGCCAGGACACTGGCTCTTAGATTCAGGTCCTGATAGTTTTGTTTTTCAAAAAATACATTCTAGGTTAAAGCAATACAAGCCCAGAAAATTTCAACAAAGAGGTATTCCGTTTGACCACTGCCCCAAAAGATACGGCCCAAACAGCGCTGATGCCATAACTGAACAATACCATATACTACAAAATGGAAACAAAAGCCAATTAGTTGAACCACCAGTTAAAACAGTCAACATAATTTTAATGTCTAAGTCAAGCAAACTTATTAATGTATTTACTAAACTGAAAAAGTTAACAGGTTAGAAATAATGAATACAAAAGAGCACTATAATAATAAGAAATCTCTGCATAGGAATTACATGTTTTTCATGCATCCTTCTGCAATTACCTCTAATAATCCATTAAGTACTTTTTAAATTTTTTAAGATACTTTACTGCATCCCTGGGGACTAAATGAAAGCAGTTTAGCAATTCAGCAAGAAGGACAAAAACCACTTACTCTATGTATGTTACTTTCAACTTGGTAAACCAACAACGGTGGAACACTCAAAACAACATCAGTTCCATCTAGAACACATGGGTTAACACAGTCTTCAAGTACAGAATCCACAACTTCCTTTTCCTTTTTCAGAGATGAAAGCATTTCTATTATAAGTGTCCACATACTGCGGACCTTAACAGGAAAGAAGAAAAACACTGTTAAAATGTTTGCTGTAACACCTATAATGACAGAGTATCAAAACAGCATGAAGGCAGATGAAAGTGGCATAATCACAGGTAGAAAAGTGCAAATAACAGTATCTGATGGTAGGTGCTGAAGAAATCAACACACTGTCACAGCAGGAACAAAATGCTCACCTTCTGAATTCTCTCAGTTGTGTCATTTTTGTTTTGGTCATTTTGCTTCATCCTACATGCACATGCAAAACAAAAGTTCAAGCGGACTACAATGAAATTACAGTTCATATTTCATAAAACTGAGCATCTAATCTATTTTATACATCTGAACTTAGTTACAAGGAATAGCACTTACCTGTAAAACTGCTTCTGCACAACTGCATATTCCTTCTTTGTCTGCTTTATTTCACAAATTAAAATCCTAGGAAAAAATCCAACAACTAGTACAGGCTTATCAGAATTGTTTACAGTAACTAACCAATTGTTTCTCATCCCAACAGCAATAAGTTACTACAAGTGTCTATTATCAATGCGAACTACAAATATATTCAGCAATTCTACAGCATCCAAATTCCTCAGTTTCAAAAGACCAGAGAACAGAATACTTGTACTGGAATACACGCAGCTAGACCACAGAAGCTCTTTTGTCAAAGTGCTTTTATTGACATTTTAAGCATGTAAAAACGTAGTAGTCTGATTTTCAGAAAAATTGGGTGCCTAAATCATGCTGCATTCAAAAGGATCTTCAGAGTTCAGATGCATTGTCAAGAATTAAAAAAAAAAAAACTTAAAAAGAATTACATTTTTGAAGGGTTTCAGTCAAAGAGTACACAGTAGTAATATTTCCCAAACAAGGTGATAGGAGACAAAGAATTACAGGAATCAGAGACATTTAGGAGACTTTGACCTCTGGAAATTGTATTTTTGAGCCTTCCATTGAAAGCAGAGCCTTTAATTATGCTACTCATGATCTTGGCAAACCAAGTCTTGAATATTTCCAATATTTCACTTCTGAGGGCAACCTTTTTCAGTTTAATTGTTCTCACAAGAGATTTTTTAAAATCTCCAGTGGAGTTTTCCCCAAAACACCTGCTGCTTTGTTCTGTCAGGACATATCTGTGTGAAGAGTACCTCTATGTTCTCTACAACTACTTTTTAGACACCGAAACTGATTAAACCCCTAGCATTGCCTTTTTCAAGCTAAACAAACCAAATTTCTACAGTTTTTATGCAGACATTTCACACTCTGAAATCCTTTAATCCACTGCAGTCCTCTGCTAGTATCTCTCCCATCTTTCATTCTCTACCTTCAAGTGGGCTGATCAAAACTGAACATAGTATTCCACATGTGGCATTAGAATTGCCACCTCCAGCCAGCAACTAAGTACCACATAGCTGCCCACTCACCTCCCACCTCCCCAGACCCAGCAGAATAGGAAGAATCTGAAAAATGGTAAAATTTATGGGCTAAGAAGAGTTTAATAACTGAAATAAAAATAATGTAACACAGATGTAAAGGAAAAAGAGAGAAAATAGTAAAACTGAAGAAAAATGTGTGATGCATAATATAATTGCCCACCATTTGCTGACCAGTGCTCATTCCCATACAACATGGCATGCTGCTGATCCTGATTACCAGGACACACTGCTGACTCATGGTCAGCTTGTGGCCACAGAGTACTCTCACTTCTGATTCTTCTTAGCAGAGCTACTCCACAGCTAATCACCCACAAACCTGCACTGCTCTTGGGGACTATTCTCTATCTTAGGTGCAGGACCTCACACTGGTCTTTGTTAAACCCCACACTATTTTTGTTGTGCAAGTCCCCAGACCCAGCAAGGTCTCTCTGTGAAATGCTTCCCCACTGCACTATCTTCCTTCCTCACAGTCTGGCACTATCTGCAAGTTTGGTGGGTCTGTATCCAAGCCTGTCATCCATATTCCTTAAGAAGACACGGCACCAGCCTCATAGGAACTCCACTCATAGACCAGTTACTTGAGTAAAATTTGAGGCACTGTCACCCTTTGGGCTCACCCCTTTAACTAGCCTTCTGTGTTTCCAAATATGTCAGATATGTTCTGAAACAATGTCAGGTAAGTATCCCTGACATTGGGCCGTTGGATGAAAGCAATGAAACCTTTTTTTTACTCTCTTCTGCTGTCAGTGTTCTGTTGGTTCTTCCCCCACTGCTTCTTGGCACAGACTCTGGGCTACCGATCTTACCCATGCAGACCAAGGCAAGGTACATATTGGGTATTCCAACCTGTGAGACTTGCAACTTACCATTTTGTTCAGAAGCAGATCCAAATCCTCCATGCACTTCCACCTCCTAATAACATACCACAGGATTCTTTATTCAAGCTCCTAGCAGGCTCTTGGAGGTTTAGCTGAACTTAGGCCTTCCTAGATACATCAGTGCACACCCATGAAACATTTCTGTATTTGCGTCTTAAGAGTCAGTTCCCTTTTCTGTATTTCGTATGTTGATACACTCTCTTAATGAGGCTGGTTCCCTGTTGCATCTGTTTGTTTTTTGACTTAAGAAGATGGATCACACATAAGCTTCAGCAAGGATCTCTGAAAGCATCCTATCACTCATGAGCTTTCCTGCTTTCCACAAGAAACCTCCTATAGTTGCATAGGCCAGTGGAAATACACTCAAATTAAAAGGCCAGTGTCATCAGTTTCCCTCTTGTCTTCCTCACATTCCTTTGCATTTAAAGTTCTACAGTCTTGGCTGCAGTGACCATGAAAGTCCTGTAATGTCTCCAAAGAAGTTGTTTCTCTCATTTACACATAGCAAGTTCAAGAGAGTACTGCTCCTACTCAGCACACTTAGTGACTGCATCACAAAGTCATCCTCCAGGTACTCCCCCTTCTTACATTGCTAATGCATCACTGAACCACTTTCCCAGTGAATACCAGGGTAAGCTGAAGTCCTCTGTAAGAATCAAGGTCAGCAGAAAGTCACCACAAGGTCTCCCTGGATGCTAAACCCTCATCCAAAGGCATGAAACATGACCGGTCCTCTTGTATGGAGCTATACTACATGCACATATAATACTGACACTGCTCTTTCACCTACAGTGCAACCCCTCGCCCTCTTCTGCCATTTACTAAACAACTCACAACTGTCCATGACAGTGCCCCAGTCATGTAAACTATCCTACACAAATTCTGTAAATTCTGCTGAAACACAGCTCTATGTTTGCAGATAAAGTTGCAGATCATGACATTTCTCAAGCTGGGAGTATTTGCCATAAACAAGAACTAAGAATAGCATACTTTTGGCGAAATAATTAAGGTTTAAGTAAATAAAATGTGTCTCACAGTCAATAAACAAATCCAAATGTTTCATCTTCAGAATGTTTTATTTCAGGATATGACCGTTCAGAGGAAATCATACTCCTATAAATGTAGAATTCTCTAACCATTTTAATGCCCAAGTAACATATAGCATCTCCTAAATGATTAATTTCTTTAGACTACTATGCTTCACAAAAGATATACAAGCAGTAGAACTGCTGATGAAAGAAAGCAAAGGGGGAAAATATGGGAGGAGTTCAACACAATGAGTTCTGTGATGTAAAGCATATATAGATTTTTCAAATCCTTCTAAAAACACATACACAAGTCAGCTTTTATGAAAAGACTCTCTTTTAATTACTTACCATACTTTTCTCTGGTATTCTTGAAAAACAAAGTCTTCCCTTTGAAGATTTTGCAGCAGTTTATTGTATGCAACTCTGTGTCTTGCTTTTGCTATGTACATATCCCGAGGTCTCCACATTACAGCTTCAGCATAATGTATACCACCAGTGCCTAAATAAAAGCCAGGGTTTGGATTGCATTATTTTAGCAAACAGACAACTCCTAATCTACCTAGATCAAACTGCAAGAATCACAAATCAAGACGCTAATTTTTACCTGGACTGAAACACAGCATGCAGTGTACTGCCACTTTTGCCTTTCTCTCTGTTGCATACATCCTCATTCCCACACTCTCATTCTCTTTCTATATTCTTTAGGTTACAATAATACAAGATGCCAAAACAGACAGACCTGATTTTTCAGAGTTCCTCAAGTGCCAAGAAAGAAAACAGTGTAGCTGTCCAATACTTTTGGACCAAACCAATACTTGTGTGGGTAATGGTGCAGAGCATTGCATAGGTGAACCTTGGAACAAGACCCATAAAGCAACAGAGAGTAAAACCATCTGCAGAGTTCTATCACCAGTAGCTCTATGCAAATGCGCAGAACCCCGTGAAAGACTTTCACCTGAGCATCCAGCGAAGAACTTCTTAAAGCTCCTGTCACATATGAAAGACTTGATACATTTACAAACACAACACATGAAGCATTTTTATTGTCCCATACAGCTTACCTACAGAGAGCTTTTTCATCTTCTCAATCATTATGTATCTTGCAAAACAGTAGAGCACATGAACAAATTTAGCACCACCAGGACAAATCAGTGTGGAAGGTGTAATCCGTGGGAGATTTAATTCCTTCTGCTGCTAGAAAAGTACAATCATTTAAAACACAAAACTAATCTGAGAAGTAAAGCATAAACAACAGCAATCAAAGCATACCAAAATGCTGCAGATTACCCATTAGCAAGCCTGATACAAAGTTAAATGACTTTGTCCACCCTTGTTAACACCTGCTGTAGTCAGCAGAAGAGGATAAAGCTTTTTCCAATGTTCCCAACACTCACTCTGTTCTGTACACAAGATGGTTTCTATGCAAAGAATGAAATCACTGTTGGATAAATATTAAAAATTGGTGCCCTCCTCATTCCTAATTGTTAACACCTACCTTTGAAAACACATTCAAGTTTTCTTTCTTATTTTCTACTGAAGTCATGAATCAGTGTACTTTAATCATATTTAAAGACACTGCATCATTGGTTTTCACCTTACTCACTATTACTAAAATAGTGAAATGTTGAGGAACACAAAGACAAGATTTTTAGAACGTTCATTAAAACAAAGGCAGCATAAGAAAGCAACATAATAACCAACAATACTTGAAATGTTTTTGCTTTATCTTTAAAAAAGCTTGCCTTACATTGCAGCCCCATTCCCATATACAAGAAAATACTATTAATTAAGTTTTTCATACATCTGACTCAGCTTTCACAATAAGAAACACCTTCCCAGGCAACTTAAACAACCCTCAAGATGAATGAACTTATTCCCACCCAGGGCTAAGGGACTCTCTAGACTTCCATTTAATCAAATACTGTTACCCAAAAGCAAGTCACAGCAATTTTAGGACCCAACTAGGTCTCTGTCTTCTAAATTACCCAATGCCAACGTCTTTTCTTTAAGGAAGATAAACCAAGATAAACCGTATGAAAGAATATAAAAGGCAAAACTGAATTCTTTGATAAAAAAATCCTTATTTAAAACTCTGATATAAAACAGTTCCCTCAAAAAAAGAATAAGGTCACAGAAACCAGTAGAGCATAACTTCTTAATACTCACTGAAATTTCCCTTAGCCACAGACAGCAGTACTTCCTAAATTTAGGACTTGGTACCTTTGTGCCTCCAGATTGCCTTTTCATTTAGAAGAGGAGAAAAAAAAAAAAAAAAAAAGAGCCATGTCAAAACACATTCAAATATTCAGATTCCTAATTAACCACTGTAAAAACAAGAGTAAGACATAGATTTTGTATTGATGCCAAGCCAGAAAATGAGTATACACCCTAGACCAAGAACAGATAAAGGTTTGTCAAATGACAATGTTTTCTTTCCGTAAGTTAATTACAGATTATTCCAGATTGTTTGTCTGCAGCTCTTTCTAACTTGGATCAGAGGAAGAAGATGAAAAAAAGAGTGCAGAAACCTGACCATTTTCATATCACTGGTCTTCCTCCTGCCATGCATGGAGACAGGTTTTTTTTGTATGACAGAGCTGTTTCAGCTTATGCATTCAAATGCATAAACTGAAACGGTAGAGTACACCTAGGCTATTAAAGTACATAAGGTTCTTGCCATGTTGAAGGTCCTGGAAACAATCCATAAATGGCAAATGTTAACTGTTTGGTGAGAAAGAACGGGAGAAGTAGATTATTTATCAGCTATTAAAATTTATATCAAAGTTGCCAACAGAAACAACTAATTAAGGCAAGGTTTCAGACTGATCAAAATGAAACAAATTCTCTGCCTCTATGCTCTTCTTGCAAAGTATTCCCCAAGAAACCACCTCCTTCCCCTCCAGCAACTATATAAAACCTATTCTTAATTAAGGGCACAGCAGTAACCTCAGAAGCCAAAAACTTACATGAAAGTTCTTGCACGGCGCTTATCCAGCTTAGTAAACAAGAAGTGGGCAAGGACAGAAAACGCTCTCCTGTTAGGTTTAGCAAACATATCCCTAATACACAAACAAATACCCACATCAGAAGTAGTTATGGCAACAAATTAACAGGCTGCTAAAGACTACAGAACAGTGTTATGTTACAGAATAATTAATTGAATGCTGTATTTGCTATGTAAAATTATACACCCTTCATCCTATTTAACATGGGTTAAATCCAGGGCTGCAATAAAAACTGTGGTCAACAGGTCAAATTCTGCCCCTCTGTTCTGCTCTTGTGAGACGCCTCCCACCTGGACTGCTGCATTCAGCTCTGGTGCCCCCAGCTAAACAAGGACATGGAACTGTTGGATCAAGCCCAGAGAAGAGGCATGAAGTTGAAAAGTAGACTGGAGCACCTCCCCTACAAAGACGGTGAGAACTGGGGCTGTTAAGGAGAAAAGAAGGTTACATCGAGACCTTATAGCAACCTTACAGTATATGAAGGGGACCTACGGGGAAGTTGGAGAGGGACTGTGGTGGAATTGTTGTGAAAAAAAGGAGTAATGGGTACAAGTTGAAAGGGGGAAAATTTAGGTTAGGTATGTTAGAGATATGGTAGAAATCCGTGCCTATGGAATAGGTATTTGGGAAAAAATCTTTACTGTGACAGTAGTGAGACACTGGAACAGGTTGCCCAGGGAGGCTGCAGATGCCCCGACCCTTAAAGTGTTTAAGGCTGGGGAAAAGTACCTTGAGGATGGGGAAGGTCTTAAGCAACCTGGCCCATGGCGGAGGGGCGGGAGTTGGATCTATGTGATATTTTAAGGTCCATTCCAGCCCCATAATGGTCACGGTGCTATGAAACAATTCCGGCAAGAGTGCTACCTTTCAAGTTAAGTTTTCAAAACACGGCTAGGAAGCCCCCGCCTTCCCCACTGGACTATGAGGGGAAGCAGGAGTTCTCACCACTCCTGGACTTCATTTCTTCAGAAAGTCTGAGACAATGACTGTGGCGGCACTGCGGGCATTTCCCGCGCGTCCTATGTCGCCAGGGGCACCGGGCCCCTCGGCGGCCATGGCGAGACGCTCCCGCCTCGCGCTCCCGAGTGACACCCGGGGCCCCGCTCGGACCCCCCACCTCCGCCCACCCCGGCCCTCCCGAGCACTAACCTCCCTAGTTTTATGCCACGGTGGTGTTTCGGGTCGAAGCCCAAGGCCAGCAAACAGATCCAGAGGTGATCGCTCTCCCACTGAGCGCCCACGGCAGCTCTCGGGCGCCGGCGCCCTAAAGACGCCGGCGCTGCCGCCATCTTCCCGAGCCCGCCAAATTCTCCCGCGCGCGGGCCCACCCATACGACTCCCCTACCCTCGCGAGACCTCCCGTCCGCCACCGGCGTCCGAAGTCGAGGCGAGCCGGACGCGCTGCCTCACGGGAGGTGTAGTCCCGGTGCCGGTATCCCTCCGGAGGGCCCTTCGTTTTTCATAATCGGATTGCAGAATTACGCGGGGAAACAAACAAACAAACAAACAAAAAAACCAAACCAAAATAAACAAAACCCAAGCAAACAAAAAACCCCAAAACCAAAAGAAAACAAAACAAAAACCCAAACGAACAAAAAGCCCAATACCAAAACAAACCAACAAAACAAAACCAATTTAAAGGAAAGAAAAAAAAAAAAAAGAAAACACAAAAACCCCAAACCCTAACCCTAACAAGAAAAACTCACACCGGCAAGTGTGCTGTGCGGTTCAAACTTTTATTCCAAGGCATTTCAGTGAGCAGACTTGCAGGCCCTCAGCCGGCCCGGTGCCGCAGCAGCATGCACACCGACCGCACGGAGAGCTCGCTGCCACAGCAGCTCGGCCTGCTCCTCGCAAAGAAATGTTAACAAGTCTGCCTCCAGTCCCGTCCCCCCTCTTCCCAACTCCTGGAAAAGGTACTGTGTGCGAGCAAATGCAGACTCACCAGCCCTTAGCAAATAACTGATTGAGATTTTATTAAAACATTTTTTTAAAATCACTGTTGCCCAGAACTCTCCTTACGCTCAATTCCCTCTTTTTTTTTCCAAATTTTCTTTTGTCCGAAGTCTTTCTTTACTCTCTGTTGTCCTTTCTTTTTACAATCTCTTCCTCTTTCTTATTTAAATGCTATTCTTATACCCCAAACACTTTAATATTGAAGCATTTACTCCCTTTAGTCTCAGGTGCCACAACTGACAGCATCATGCCAGCCATAATATTTGCACACAGAAGGCATGTGGAAAGAAAGGAAGTCCTTTTGTGCATAAAGCACTCTTGCCAAAGGAAAGCTCTAAGCCTCTATGCTCTGTAAGTGCAGAGCCTAACAAAAGAACCTGAGAAAATCTGAGATGGACAAAGTCTCTTACCCCTTCCAGCAGCAAAGAGGTAGATGCAGCACTGCTTTTCACACAGACTGAAAGTGGGCAAATCCTCATCAACTCCTTTTGTTGGCAGCCCTGTATGCAAAGCACTGGGGTGTTCTCATGGCTGCTACCAGCAGGAGAACAAATCATCAATAAAAATCAGATTAGTTGGATATACTGGTTAGGCTATACCTGGCTTGTAGAATTGGAGCCTGACACCTGCGATAACCAATTAATGTAGAGTGTACGCCTTACATTGAAAAACCCAGATTTTGATGCAGCTAAGTGAAACAGTACTGATTTTTAAAAAAGTATCCCCATAATCCCTAAACTAGGCAGGTTCATCTTTAAAAAGGAGGAATCTAAATTAAACATGGCAAAGGTACATTGTATCAAAAAGACATTTTTATGCTTCTCTATTCAGCTCTTTGCCCCGTAATGTAAGGACCATTTGTGCGTGAAAAATCCTGTTGATCCTCTTCATCCAAATCCAAATCGTCTGGGACATCATCTGACTCTGAAGACAGGTCTGTAATAGCGAAATCTGGAACCTGTGTAGGAATGAAATTTCAATCAATTCAAAAGTAAAACTTAACAAATTTGTGCAGTACTCCTTCACTGAAGACAAGACACAAAGGTGCTCAGCACCTCTAGAAATCAGACCAAACACCTGATTACAGAGTGAAATATGCTCAGACACAAAGGAAACAGGAACCATTAAGACAAATAAATACTACACAAAATGGAAATCAGTTGCTTAGAAGGTCAGATTTTATAGTAGAGATGGAAAAGAGCTGAATGTAGTGAAACTAGTCACTGGAAAATTAAGAAAGGAGGTTTTCAAACTAATTTTGCCTTTCTTCTTTTCACCGAAGCAATGGACTATACAAAGTAATCTGCCCTGAGGAGATTGATACAGGTTGCTGTGTTGCTCTGCCTGCCTACTGCATCAAACCTTTTCTGACAAAACAAATACCTGGAACTGCAATCTCACTTTGGCCTCTGTTTTAAGTACATGTATAGTATTCTGTACTGCTAATAAGCACAGGGTTTCAGGAATTGCCAGAAAGACATCAGTGGATACATGGATGTTAACAGACTTCTAAAAATGTTGGCTAAGACACTTAGGAGCTTAAGTCCCAACCCTTAAGTCCCCTTAGTAGGACTTAGATTACTTAGGCACTTCTGAAAAATGGGATAAAATTAAGCAATTTACTCCTAAGTTTTTTGCCCCAAGTGAAAAATACTCACATCTGTAATACGATTAATGGTTAGTTTTAATGTTGGTGATGTGACATACTTGGAGCCAGACACACTATCAGCAAATAACTACTGCTGCATTTTGACAAGACCTTGGTTCTGCAAGTTCAAAGCAACAATAGGTTGTAGGCATTTCTGTAACTTAAACTCAGCACGGACTAAAGAGGCATTTTGATGCATTCCCTAACTGCAAAACACCTTATAACTTACTTCAAGCAAGAAAAATCTGTGCTTTGCCTGCTACAATGATAGGTCAGAAGGGCAGACAATGTATCAAATAAAGGGACTACTACTTCAGCTACCAGGTTGTACACAATACAGAAGCACTACACAGTAATTTACTGGTCTTACAGAGTAGGTTGTCATTGGACACCAGGGATCTTTGAAATACTAATTATTTATTAAAACTGATCTTTAGAAGAACTTAAGCAGCATGTGACTAACCAGGCACTGCTGTGAATACCATGAAATGCATGTACTACTTTGGGAACTTAAGCTTGATCAAAATAAGATGAGCAATTTTTGTTTCCCAAAAGATCAAAAGGCACTAGGGAAACACAACTTTCTACCAGCAGGAATTATCTGGCATCTTTCTACTTATGGCAGTAGAAAGCCATTCTCATTACTGCACTTAGAGAAAGCAACAGGCTTCCCCATTATCAGCACTTGATCTTGTATTTCATACTGCAGTACAAATACAGGTGTCCTAAAAAGACGAAGTAGTCCATATGCAGTTTTTAAGAATGTGCCCAAATGTATAGTTTTATGTATTTACACTGATCAGGACACAGCCATATTCAGTAAGTGTGTCTGACCAGTAAGAATTTTCTCTATCATGCATTTAAGAGGTTTTATTACTTACATCCATTTTGTTCTTAGTGACAACAGAGTAACTGCTCAAGTTTAAGTTTCTGCTTTTTTCTTCTCCTTAATGCATGCAGTAGAAGAACCTGACTCCTTTAATGTAATAGTAAGATTTTGATAGCCATGAGAGAACTTCAAATTGAATTGTATCTCAGCATGAGTAAAACAGACTGGATGTCAGTATGACTCACCTCAGTTTTGACCATGCTAAATTGTATTAGAATATATCTGCACCAGTCTAACTAAAACAATGCCCGTGATGTTATGGGATTGCTTATGTAGAAGATCTTTGCTTCCAGCTGACTCACTGCTTTCTTTCAACTTCCTATCAATTACTGAATAAAAGAGTAAGACCAGATAAAACTTTTCTTCATGCAATTTCTCTGTATGATTCAGTAAATCATTTACAAAGATATAACACTTGCAAAATCCCTACATAGAACAGTGCAAAAAATACTATGGCATTTTGCTGTCTTCATACACAAATGCTGATGTCAATACTAACAACTTCAATCTGTTTTGGTTTTTTTTTGCTAAGTTTTTTAAACTGAGCCATTAGCATTTTGACACAGTGTTCTCATTTTGTGAGCTTTCAGAACAAGAACTTATTTTTAGTCATCAAGAGACTGTATGATCCAAAAGAAATAAAATTGCCACGAATCAGCACTAAACAAATATAACTTCATTTACGAACATTGTGCATAATACCTCCAGCAAGCTGCTGCAATGTTAAGACTCTGATCATGCAAATTACTAACCAAGCAGGCTTAAAAACAAGATCAGTTCAGTTTCATCTTTTTGAGGGTTTATAAAAGCCTTTTGGTGGTAGTTACTGCTTTTTTTTAAATAATGAGAAATAATTAATCAGTTGTTCCCAAATCCTTTCACCTATTTTACTAGCTATAAAATATTTCCCTAAGTTAAACTCTGGAAAAGACTATTGCAAAAATATTAATCTTGAAGAGTAGGAGACATTTCCAAACCTTTACACCTTTCTTTAGATTGAGGCAAACTAACTGCAACTCCAGGCCTCATACAAATCTTGTAATTTGGCTTTGACCAATGCTATAAATATGTCTGCAAAACTGGTATACCATAGGGAGCTATTTACAAATGCTTATATTGAAAGCTTTTCTAAAAAACAATTATCAGCAATGATAGAATAATAGTTCTCTGTTAAATGCACCTGGGAAGAGGAAATGTCAACTAGCATGAACAATTTTTGAGTGATCTCTGTAAGAGAAAAAGTAATTTTCTAAATAAACCCTAAATAACCTTATAAGTGATAATGATCTTTTTATCAGGTTAGTATTCTAACCTTTACCATCCCAAGTTTTGTGTGCCTAGAAGCCTTTGACATTCTTCCATTTGATCTAGTTTAACTGCCTTGTTGAATCTACTTCCTATAATTTTCAACACATCTGGTCTTACCTTTTTTAAAAGGTTCCAGAGAAACCTCAGTTTTCTAGACCAAGCTATATCCTCAAACATGATTTTGGACTGAGAGGAAGTAAGCTTCTGTGCAGTACAGCTGAGCTGTTTAATACATACAGTTAAACAGGTAAGATGGCAGTATCTCAGCTTTCCCTTCTTTATTTGTGAGGAAGCACCTCAGCTTCAGTCAAAAACAGTGGCAAAAAGACAAGACTTTGGAAGGCATAATTCTTGCCTCCAGTGGACATGTCAATAGTCTCTCTCTCTAGCTGCACAAGAGAAAAATCTTAAGTTCTGCCTGTAGAGCTGCAGTTAGACTGGAGTGTGGAATATGCTATGCTAAATTACATGCAATAAGATACCCATGCAAGTACAGTTGCAAATCAGTTTAAACATACAATGCTCTCCTTATTAGCAGAGACTAATAATCTTAACCACAGAACTTTATTATATTTAAAAAATCAGGAACATACCAATTTGCTACTACTCAGCCATCTCTTCCACTAGGGAAGAGTTCCTAATTCTGATGGGGGATTGTGTGTGTGTGGATAGAAACCTAAAAACATTGGGGGGGTGGGCAGCATCCCAGAAAACAAGCACCTATCACAACAACATGACACAGTAGCCCAACCATTAGGTAAGCATTTAACCAGGTCTTGCTCTGTTT